ATCCTTTTTAACAGTTTTAATGTGTAAAGCATTGGAATTCCAGTGACCTGTACCCTTGAACCTGAGATTCCAGGAATATTTTGCCTTTATCATTCATGTCATGTGGGCATCACTGGATAGGCCAGCGATTTTACTATGCTCCCTAATTGCCCAGAATCCACCAGTTTGTGTGGGCTTGGAGTCAAATATAGGCCAGACAAGTTAACGACAGCAGCGTCTTTCCCTAAAAGACATTAGTGAGCCAGCTGGGTTTTTATTTTAACACCCGGACACTCAACAACAGTTTTATCATTGGACTCCAAATTCCAGGTTTATTTTTTAATCTAACATTTGATTTGAATCCATGCCCCAGAACATTACCTGGGTCTCTTGATTAATAGTCACTCATCTCCTGCATATGGCTGATGTAACTTGTAGGACCATGACCATGTCACCAGGATAAAAATACTGCATTTATTTGTCTAAATTCCAGGAATTTCTGAGGTATAGGTCACTCAGAATAAAGTCTGGACAAGGACCATATAGAGGGAGCTCAAATTCTATTGTGAATTTATGGGCCATCGACTCAGCATAAAATTTCACAGCATAGCAGGAGGCCATTCAGCCCATTGTGAAAGAAAATTGGTCCTACTATCCTGCTCCTCCCCCATAGCTCTGTCAATGTTCACTTTTCAAGTACATGTCAAAGTTACTCATGAATAATAGTTCTGTTTTGCAAGACTATTACTGAAATTTGAGCCCCCTCATGACATAATATCCATATAGCAGTGAGGATCTGCTAAATTATATTGATCCAAGCCTTTTGCTGGTTTATAGGTGCTTGAATGTCTTAAATGAGCTGAAACCATCACCTGACCTGGGTTAGAAAATGAGAGAAGTATAACTTGCCAGCTGCTGAACCACAAGAAAGAACAAGGTCAAGCACATTGTTTTTTAATTGTTTGTGGGATGCAGGTGGGATTCTGGCTAAACCCATCTCTGTGGGTTTGAAGTCATGTGTAAACCAGACAAGGCACGTGGCAGTTTCCCCATTTAGTGAGCCAGATATTTTGTTACAACATTTGACAGTAGGCACACGGTCTCCATTAGACCTCAGATTTTTAATGAATTCGCATTTTGCCATCTACCATTCTGGGATTTGAACCCGTGTCTTCAGAACGTTTAGCCTGGGATTCTTAATTACTCATCTCACAGTGACATTACCGTTATGTCACTAGTACCTCTTTAATGAATGGGTGGCTGGGTTTATTATTTACCTGGCTGGGGCATGTCTAGAAACGGTCTTGGAAAAAGTGACATCACAGTGTGGAGCTGGAGGAACACGGCAGGCCGAGCAGGAAGGTCAACGTTTTGGGTCAGGACCCTTCTTCAGAACTAAGTGATAGGCCACTTAAGACTGAAATGAGAACTTATTGTTCATACAGAGGATTGAGAGTCTTTGAATTCTCAGACCTTGAAAATGCCAATTGGAGGCTCAGTCTTGAGTATGTTGAGACTGAGATTGATAATAAGGGACATAGTGTTGGAGTAGAAAATCAATCTTGGCCTCATTGAATGGTGGACCTGTCTGAAAGGGCTGAATGGCCTGTTATTTCTCATTCCTGCCTGAACACGAAAGGGATGAGGAAGAGTGAACCAGGTACTGGGGAAATTGTTAAAGGGAGCCTGTAGTGATTGGAACGAGGGGCTGGCTGGTCAGAGCCCATGTACTGTGCACATGTGAATAAAGGGTGACTTGGTGACAGGATACCAGCCTCTGTGCAGTTATTTCAGAGCACATCCAAAACATTATCTTCCTCTGCACTTTTGGTATGTTATGAAAGATTGATTTCGTCGTCCGTCTCTTTTTAACAGACACATTGCTTCAGTTTTGTTATAACCCCTACAAATCATATCACCGGAGAGCAAGGCTCATCAAATGATGTTTTTTTTAAACTTTCAGTGCTTAGTATCATACTGCTTCCTATAAGCATCATTTATCCTTGTTTATTTCTTTTAAGTACAAATAGCTCGATTTTGTTTAAATTAAGTTTCAGCCTTTTTCATTCTGTCAGCAATCATCATCACTCTTAATGGCTCTGACTTTGCCTGCTCTGAAAAGCTCAACACCTGAAAACTGAGCTGGGTTTACTGCTGGAAATTTAACAATAACCAAGGTACGGGGTATCTGACCTTGTGTGGAATGTTACGTCCTTCTGAAGTGAGATATCATTTCTTGAAACTCCATCTGTGCGATCTATAAGTGATAACTGAGGCATGTTTGAATATTTTCAGGCTCGTTTAAAGGTGCCTTTCATTGGTTTCCGACCTTGACTCCATATTTTATCCTGATATCAGTATCTCTTGATTCCCTTGCTGTCCAAAAATGTGCCAATCTTGAATTTCATTGACTGAAAACCCACATCTCCCTCTCTCCCCCCACCCCCCCCCTCACGCGCTCCTTCTCTCTCTCTCTCTCTCCCTCTCTCTCTCTCTCTCTCTCTCTCTCTCTCTCTCTCTCTCTCCCCCCACCCTCTCTCTCTATGTAGTGAAGTCCCAAGGTTCAGAATCCTGAGTGAAATTCCCCCTTATCTTTCCATTCTTACTGGTCGGGTGAAGCAGACTTTCACATCTATCCTGCCAAGACCTCTATGAATTTTGTACATTTTGAGGGGGTCACGTTTTCTTCTGAACTTCAGTATTCTACTCAGTCTCTCCTCAAAGGATACCCCTGTCTTGTCAATAATCTTCATTGTACCCCAGCTAATATTATACCCTTCTTTCCATCAGGAGACCAAAACGATACACTGTACGGCCAACAAAGTCTCACTAATAATTGCGAAAGGTTCCTTTCTCCAACTCCTCACAATAAAAACTGCTGTACTATTTGCCTTCCTTGTGTGTGCGTATAAACTTTGGCTCGTGTATAAGGACACAAATCTCTCTGCATACCAATATGTACTCTTCCTGTCTTCCCATTTTGCACTGTATTTGGCTTTTGCTAAGAAGAGGAATTTCTGTCCTGCAGAGAGTAAAGGATACGGAAGGAGATGGTTTTCCTTGGGTTTAACTTGAGTTCCTGTTTTATCTGAGAAATATTGAACACAGTTCATTTGCTTAAATCAAGTCCTTGTGTAAATCTGAGATAGTAGGAACTGCAGATGCTGGAAAATCTCAGACAACAAGGTGTAGAGCTGGGTGAACACAGCAGGCCAAGCAGCATCATAGGAGCAGGAAGGCTGACGTTTCGGGCCTAGACCCTTCATCAGAAGCTTCAAATCATTTTCTTTAGAACTATTTGTTCTTGATATTTCCTGGATTGCAATTGTGATTCGATACTTGAACAATTTTACTACAGTTTTATAAAGTTGACCCTACATTGTTTATACAAGAAACTGTTGATTGAAGTCTTCTCAATAATAGTGGGGGTCTTTGTGCTCCTATTTAACTTTTTAACCATCTATTTCCTATGGTTTTGACTTTCTCTTTTACATCACATTTTTCTTCTACATTATTTCTTTCCGGATCTTTGATATAAGGGAAATCACCATCCAAAGTGACTTTTTTGTTGCAGTAAATTAAGAATTTACTTGAGTGAATCCCTGATACTGTTGCATCACCCATACTCCCTCTGCTTAGCCCCCTCCCCTGTATTATGTTAAACTCATTGGGTAATGCTGTAGCCTTCATATTAGCTGCTGGTTTCAGGGAACCCTCCAATCCCCTTTTGAAAGCCTCAACTGACCCTGCCTCAGCCACACTCTTGGGATACAAATGCATTTCAGTGGTTAGTTGTAAATCAGGAAGTGACAGGGAGAGAGGAACCTGATGAAGTTATGGTCACTGTACATTCGTAATTTTTACCATATTTGACACAGGTTTGTTAGATTACTGTGAGTGGTGCAATTCCTTCTGCTCAATTCTGGAAATCCAAATGACACAGCCTTGACCTAATGCCTAATTTCCGAAATCAGACATTAGTCATCAGACGTAGCCTCCTGTTACTGCCAGTTCTGTGGGGAGTTTTAGTGGGTCTGTATTCGCTAGCGTTTGGACGGATGAGAAAGGATCTGTTTGAAATACATAATATTACGCAAGGGCTGGTCAGACGAGTTGCAGGGAGGATGCTTCCCCTGTTTGGGAAGTCTAGAACCAGGGGCTACAATCTGACAATGCAGATTAGGCCAATTAGGACTGAGATGAGGAAGGATTTCTTCACTCAGACAGTAGTGATCCTGTAGAAATCTCTACCTCAAGGCTGTAGAGGCAAAGTTACTGAATATATTCCAAAAAGAGAGAGAAAGTTTTAGATTATATAGGCATCAAGGGTGTGGAGAAAAGTGGGAGTGTTTGGTATTTCACTAGAGAATCAGCCATAATCATATTGAATGGGGCATCAGGGTCAAGGCACTCAATGACCTACTCCTGCTCCTAGTTTCTATGAATTGTGAAGTTTACAGCTTACAACTTGCCTCAGCTAAGGTTGAGGGATCCTTGTGGAATGAGTCTGCACTGCTGTCTAAATTTCTTCCATTTTTGTTCCAACTGAGGATTTCAAAATGTACTAGATCTACTCTGAAGAAATTAAGACGTTATCTTCCGCTACCTTAGCCATTGCTGACTCACGAACTATTTTCCAACAGTTACAATCATGGGCAAGATTTTGAAGTTTTTCTTTTAGATTTCTTGCATGATGGATGAAAGAAAAATATCACTTTTTCTGACCAGTACAAAGAGAATGTTCAATGGATTTTCTTCAAGTAAAATGGGAGGGAAGAATAGTCTTTGAAATGATACAGTTGTAAACACTACGCATGTGGCAGAAGTATCTCTCAGCCTAATGAGATAAATGAACTCATCAGAAGTGTATTGAGTATTTATCATTTTCCTGTTTTACATTATCAACGCAATGTTGCTCGTACCTTGTATTAGACTGTCTCCCCGTTGTGTGTAGCAGTGTAATAATGCAAAATGTTTAGTGTAAAAACTTGCAAAATGCTAACTGTCCTCCCATTTCATAGGTACGGGCAACATGGTTGCCGTCATGATTGGCAACATCAAGGGCAGTGAGATTTTGGCGCTGGTGAAGGAAGGTATTGCTGTTTCCATGGTGATTGAAGTCGGGAAGCAGCACGGACCGTGGATGAGCCAATACTCCATCTTCTTTGTCTCGGTTTCCTTTTTTGTCGTCACTGCTGCCACAGTTGGATATTTCATCTTCTACTCTGCAAGAAGATTACGGCTTGCAAGGGCTCAGTCTCGAAAACAGGTAAGTTTATTTATTCACTTCTGGATTAAGGACCGATGCAGTGGTGGACAAGCCTGTACTTTTCTGCTCAAGACCTTTTTCAAAAATCCCCTGATGGTTTAATAAGCTTGCGTCAACTTTGTTTCCACAATATTTCAACCCCGAAGCCTTTATTATAAATAGATTTGTGCCTCTGAATAGGTAAAGGTAAGGTCATTACAGTCCCAGAGGACCATGGGGGGGTGGTGTCCCTCCTTTAGAGGGAGATAACTAGAGGTGGTTTAAAATTAGGGTCACCTAGGGCAGAGGGGCAAGATCGAGAAGGAGGGACTTTCGTGGTGACCTCAGCTGGTGCAGAAATTGAACTTGCACTATTGGTGTCACTCTGCCTGACAAACTAGCTGTCCAGCCATTTCTATCCAAATAATTATCCAGCACCACAATTGAACCCACCTCCATGACATTTCCAGAAGTCAACACAAAATCAAGATATGCAAGTACAGCAGCAAAACGATGGCACCTGAATGCTGTGTAACTCGCATATAGATCAGGAATGTTTCTTGCTGGCATTGTTGAGTGTACGGTTTTGTTGAGTTGATTTATGCAGCTTCTATTCCAGAACAGCACTGCTTTCCTACCAGCATTGACGTTTGCATTGTAAACCAGGCCCATGTTTTGGCCACAACAATGTATTTTAAGAGCGGAAAGTATGGCTGTTTTATTTAAGGCAACTTATGAAGGCTTCAGTTATCGTCTAAAACGTCTATGCATAAACGTGAGTATTGAGTGATTTGCCTTCTGTGAAACCATTGAAAATTGGCTATTTTAAAAGCTAAAAAATTTATGGAAAAAAAATATTTGGCACCTTGTGGCATTTAGCCCAACCAAACCGTGTCAAGATTCTGTGGCAGGTACTGGAGCCTGTGGTGTAACTAATAGGTTGAATACTTTTGAAGGGCTGAATGACTTGCTCCTGTTCTGAATTGAGCAACACTATTGTTGTAAAGATTTTCTTTTGTTTTGATATTTGTTGAAGAGAGAAGTGGTAGGTTCTTTAAACCTGATTAAAACTGTTTTTGAAGTCCAATGCTTACTGGTTCAAATGCCAAACAACAAGATTTAAATTGACTTACACAGTGGAAGCCAATGTAGTAATTTAGCACATAGTAATTATGGTCGTTGGTTGTCTTGTCATGTTGAGTACTGTCTTTCTCTCTTGTTTTCTCTGTCTCTCTCTCTTTTTCTCTTCTCCCCCTCCCCGTTAAAGAATGGTTCACTGGATGCTTAGCTGTTCTTGAGTTGTGAAATCAAATGCTTTAATTAATTTGGCATTTGAAGTGAAGAAACAATTGGATTTAAGCTCGGCAACTATGTTGCCTTTTCTCCTCACTGTCTTATTGTCAGCACCCACCAGGGATTTCACTGCATGGAATGTCAAGCAACGCAGATTTGTTTTTTCCCCTATTGGGGTTGAGGTGCTCTCTTCCGGGAGGAGTCTTCACTTGCTGAGCAACAGAATCCACCATCACAGGAGAACCACTTGCCTCTCCGCTGTTGGGACAAGAGCCAGCTATCACAAGGCTGTTCAGTTAGTGTTCTTCACTGACATCACTGCAACACTGCACAAAGAAGTGGCCCACTCGCATCCCCAGGAGCGAAGGCTCACTGCGTCTCCGCTTCAGGTTTTGGAAAACTGATAGGAATCCTGCTTGGCATGACGTGACTCCAAATTGGAACATTCTTGGGTGTTCCACAGAAAACCTTGGCAGGAGCAATGACACTGCTCAAGCAGTGGTTTTTGTTTTTTTTTTGAGTCTTTTTTTCGTCAGTGGCATGGTTTTCCAGGAAGCTGTGCAGTCGTCATATCAATCAGAACTTACTGTTTGTGAGGTCAAGCATGTCATGGACACCCCATCTCCACCCACTATGGATTCGTTCTCTCCTTGGAAACGTTTTGCATTGTTGTGTAACCACCTAATATTATTACATGCTGGATAGTGGTCACTTTGGAACTATTTCTGCCAACCTCTCATTTTCTTAAGTTATTCAATTCACCATTAGCATCTTTTTTAATTCATCCAACGAAGGACCCAGTTTTAACAACTCTATTTTCTTGTGTAAAAATCTCGTTTTATTGACTGTAAATTGGTGATTGGCCTTCACTTGGTCAATCGTGACTCAAATATGTATGGATGCTAGAAATGAACGCAAGTCCCAGAAATGAAATACTGTTAAAACTGCTCCCGTCTTAAAGTTTAAAAAACAGAGAGGGAAAATACAGCTCTCGCACACGAGGAAAATAAGCAAGGTGTTAGGAGGGCTAAAAGCAGCCAGAAATGACCTTGGCAAACAGGATTAAGGAAAATCCCAAGGCGCCTAATGATTTATTTGGATGACCATTTGTGTTAAAGGTCACAGCAGCAGTAGTTCAGTTAGAGAGTGGTCATGTGAGGATTCACAAAGAATTGGAAGATTAGAAAAATGTGTGCTTTTCCTACTTGCATAAGGAACACGAGGGTAGCTAGAGAAATGGAAGGTCCACTCAAAGACAAAGGAGGGGATTTATATATGGAGCTGAATGTGGTGGTTGAGGTCCTTAATGAATACCTCCCATCAGTATTGACAAAGGAGAAGGACATGGGGGATGGTGAGTTTTGAGAGGGGTATGTTGATATCCTAGGGCATATTGATATTAAAAAGGTGGTGGTGTTGGGTCTTTTAAAAGCGTTAATCCCCCAGGACCTGATGGGATCTATCCCAGAATGCTGAGGGAGGCAAGGGAGGAAATTGCTGGGGCCTTGTACGAAATCTTGCATCCTGTTTCGTCATGGGAGACGTCCCAGGGGACTGGAGAATAGCCCAAGTTGTTCCTTTGCTTAAGAAGGGCACCAGGGATAATCTGGGGAATTACAGGCTGGCGAGCCTTTTGTTAGTGGTAGACAAATTCTTAGCAAAGATTCTTAGGGGCGTCCTTATGATATATTCAAATTTGGAAATATATGGACTTATTGGTGACGGGCAGCATGGCTTTTTGCGAGGGGAGTGGGGTGGTGGTTGTGTCTCTCAAAGTTGGTTGCGCTTTTCTTTCAGAAGTGACTAAGGTGACCGTGGGGAGGGCAGTGGATATTGTATATGTGGACTTTAGTAAGGCCTTTGACAAGGTCCCTCATGGCAGGGTGGTGCAAAAGGTGAATTCACATGGGATCAGTGGCAAGATGGATACAGAACTGGCTTGGTCATAGACAGCTTGGTGGTGGAAGGGTGTTTTTCTGACTAGAGATCTGTGAGCAGTAGTGTTCTGCAGGGATCCGTGTTGGGACCCCACTTATTTGTAATTTATATAAACGATTTGGAGGAGAATGTAGGTGGTCTGATTAGTAAGGTTGTGGATGACGCAAAGGTTGGGGAGCTACAGATGGGAGGATTGCCAGAGGATACAGTAGGATACAGACAGGCTGGAAACTCGGGTCGTGAAGTGACATATGGATTTTAACCCAGGCAAATATGAGGTGATGTATTTTGGAAGATCTAATGCAGGAGGGAAGTATACAGTAAATGGCAGAACCCTTAGAATCACTAACATATACAGAGGGATCTAGGTGTACAGGTCCACAATTCCCTGAAAGTGGCAACACAAGTGGATAAGGTGGTCAAGAGGCATATGGCTTCATCAGTCAGGGCGTGGACTCTGCAAATTGGTAAGCCACGTTGCAACTGCATAGAACTTCATTCAGGCCATATTTGGCATATTGTGCACAGTCCTGGTCACCACACTACCAGAAGGATGTGAATGTTTGGACAGGATACAGAAGCCGTTTACCAGGATGTTGCCTAGTTTGGAGAGTATTAGCTATGAGGGGAGATTGGACAAACTCTTTGTTTTCACTTGAAAGTCAGAGGCTGAGGGGTGACCCAATAGAGGGTTAAAAAATTGAGAAGCTTGGATAGAGTGAATGGTCGGAGTCCTTTTCTCCCAGGGTAGAAGCGTCAATTACTAAAGGACATCAGTTTGGGGTGAAGGTTTAAGCGTTCAAAGGAGATTTGAGAGGCAAGATTTTCCACAGAGGGTGGTAAGTGCCTGGAATGTGCTGCCAGAGAAGGTGGTGGAGGCAGATACTAGAGCAGTATTTTGAGTCATCCTGACAGATACATGATTAGGCAGGGACTAGAGGGATACGTACCATGTAGATGCAAAAAAAAAAGTTTAATTAGAAAGGTGTCATTTATCAGCGCAGGCTTGTGGGCTGAAGGGCCTATTCCTGTGCTGTACTGTTCTTTGTTGTTTGTTCTAAAAGATTAAACAGGTCAAGTAACGCCTGTGGAGAGTTAACATTCCAGATCTCTCCTTGCCACCTGTTTAATCTATATCGATTTTCTCATTCCCTCTCTGCTTACCCTGACTGTAAACCAACAACATAACATCTGCAATGGTGGCATGCCCGATCGTCCAAAAAATTCAAACTGGCAAGTGTGACTAACTTTCCTGAACCAAAAGTTTCCTAAAACAGTCTGTTCAGTCCAAAAAAGTGGGTAACCTGACTGTGTTCACCAGACGTAAAGTGCTTTTTTTTTACTGCACAATTGCATGACAAAGAAACTCGGTGCATTAGCTAATATTTAACTTACTGTGAATAGATTGTGTGCAGATCAGTACAGCCTGTTTTGATACTGCAAAGTAATCTCTGCCAGCGTACTATGGTGCAAGTCTCTCGCAGACATGTTAGTGTGGGATGAAACTGATCCCCTTTTATTATTAATTCATTATTCATTCACGGGATGAGGGCATTGCTGTCCAGCCAGCGTTTATTGCCCATCTCTGATTACCCAGAGGGCAGTTGAGAGTTAACTACATTGCTGTGGGTCTGGAGACCAGGTAAGGATGGCAGTCTCCTTCCCTAAAGGACATTAGGGAACCAGATTGTTTTTCCAACAATCGACAATGGATTCACGGTCATCATTAGATTCTTAATTCCAAATATTTTTGGATTCAAATTCCACCATCTGCTGTGGCGGGATTTGAA